TTTTTTTATTAAATACTTTTATTGGGGGCTCTTACATTTCTTATCACAATCCATACATTCATCCAGTGTGTGGAGCACATTTGCACATATGCTGCCATCATCATTTTCAAAGCATTCTCTTCCCACTTGAGCCCCTGATATCACCTCCCCATTACTTCCCCTCCCCACACCACCAGCCCTCCCTCATGAACCCTTAATAAGTTAAAGATTATTTTCACATCTTACAGCATCCTCCATCACACTGAGAAAGTGGAACAAGAGGTTCAGGGAAAAAAATGTCTTCAAACAGAGATGCCGCCTGAAAGCACCAGAGAATTATTAGTGCTCATTCAGATTTATAATGCGATGATTATATCCTAGAGTAAATGTCAGACTACTCATATGTAAAAATGAAATGCACAATCAGTTATACCATTCACGGACACTTTTTTCATACATTTATATTATCCTTCCTCAAATCAATTTATTGTCAAGAAATAAACATTTAAATTCTAATGTAACCTATTAAATGTGCTCACGTGTGTTGTTAATGAAGAGGCCGAGTTGGATAATTAAAAATAAAAGTTTTGTTAGTTTTTTCCCCCATGCCTCTTTCCTCCAAACGACCAAATTAGATGGATGTATGCAAAGGCTCACAACAAATCCATCAGTTAAATGTGGCGTAGATAAACGTTTGAAGGGAGGAAGGAAAAAAAGTTTCAGAGAGGAAAAGAGTTTTGCTGTTTCCGGGCCCAGGCTGCTTGTAATATGTACTGACCTATCAAGAGTTGCAAGAGCAATAAAAAGTGATCTCTCTTAACCACAGAACCAATGATTTGCAAAGCAGAACAAACTTGGATGTTCATGATCAAAATGTAGCTAGTGGGTGGATGTTGATAAATGTAGTAATACAGTTAGAACAACAAAATTAAAAAAACAAACTGAGTTTGGGGCAGTCAGAATGTAGCATTGACTAGTGTTGTCATTACAGGAACTATATTGTTCAACAGATAAATAAAAGATGCAGCCCATGGTGTCCTTGTGCCAGTGGAAGAGGTGTCAAGAATAAACAATCAAGGACATGAAAAGCTGTGATCAACACAGGACAATGCAACTCAAAGTGTTCAGTGCACTGGCGGCCGGGATTGTCAGTAGTTGCAGGGATTTTTTTCCCCAGTGAATGCCACTCTCAGACTGTAAACCACTGAAATCAGGTGGACAAGAACCTGTAAGAAATCCAAGGAATGGAAATTATGAAAACTCACTGCCAGCTTTGCGCAGTGGCAATATTGTAGTCAAAGAGGTCCACCCGAGGTGCGATTATTGCTAATTGAAAACTTTTCCCAATACCCCGCCATGACGATTTGAAATATAGTCAGCACTGGCAATTTTTGACGGTCTCCACGGAGACTGAATAAAAAAGAAAGAAAGAAAAACTAACTGCCATTGAGTAGATTCCAAATTGTAGCAACCTAACAGGACAGGATAGAACTGTTCCTATGAAGTTCTGAAACTATAACTGTTTACCAGAATAGGAAGTCTCATCTTTTGCCCAAGGAGCAGCTAGTGGTATCGAACTGCTGGTTAACAACCCAAGGAGTAACCACTTCTCCACCAGGGCTTCTTGGAAACGATAGTAAACAAACAAAGAAATAAAAATATACTACCACTAGGGTTGAGATGCTCTATAGACACTTTGGAAAAAAGATTGCAGCTCTCGCTTTCTCTCTCTTGTTCTCTCTCTCTCTCTCTCACTCTCCCTCTCTCATCCCAAATAATTTCATTAAGATGTAATCCAAACATCATACCATTCACTGGTTCAGTTATATTGAGCAGTGTTGTACAATCACTATTTTCCAAACCATCTGTTCCCTCTTGTCCTCCTTGATACAGTCTCCCCATTACCCTCGTTCCCCTGCCATAGCCCCCAAGAGCCCGTCATTCTAGCTATTGTCTTTACGGGTTCACCCAGCTTGGGTTTCATATGCTGAAAGCATGGAGGGAGACATACTATAGCATCAAGAACACTACCAACAATAACAAAAGTCAACAGAGATTAGCTCCAATTTGAAAGAAAAAAACAACAGCAAAATAATGAAAACCAGACCAATCTCCGTGTATCCAGAAAGAGATCAAGTGACAAAGTTTTAATTATTCAAGCCAGATTTATCTTTTTAATCAACTATAATCATCTTTCCAATATTGTCTGATAGCCACGGAGTTCCCATTCCTCATTTATGGCAGAGAGGACTCACCAGAGGCTTATTCCATGTGTAGATCCGGTGAATGTATTTTGGGCTTCCACTGCCATCCTGAGCCTTCCGCAAACCACAATTCCACAATTTAAGTTCTGATACCATCCCCTCCTTCAATTTTGGATTATATATTTTCTACTCCTTGACTCACAGATGTTGGTGTGCTACTTCCGTGTGGGCTTAATTGATACCCCACTAATGACTAGATGACTACTTGTTTGAAAACAAGCCTGTAAGACTGCAGATGCTATTCTTTCTATAGCCATTGGTCAACGTAGGCAGGCCCTTTTCTGAGGAAGAATTAGTCAATAATCAAAACTACAAATGTGCCCATTCAGTGTACATATATGTATTTAAGTAATTGTTAAAAATTAAATTAAATAGCATTAACAGTGTATTCTTTCCATATAATTTTCTTATTTCTAATGCCCAAGTTTTTAAAAAAGTATCATGATAATTTAAATTTTAAAAAAACATTAAAAAAAAACACCAGAAAAGTTGCTCTGCTTAGGTATACCAAGTAGCTATATCATACATATGACTCTAGAAGGTAAATGAGTTGACTTACTGTTTTGATTGGCCCATTCTAGTATTAGACAGAGTTATTAGGTTTGCGCTGTGTCATTTAGTTTACATTTCCTTCTCAGAAAAACACAAATTATCCTAACTACTATTTACCACTAAAAGCCAGAGATTAATGAAAAGACCACATTGGGCTAAGTGGGAAACACGTTTTATTTATTTGGAGCATAACTTTCCCCCTTGAATTTATAAAGGAACATGATTTACAATGTTCCATCTTCTGCCACTTTCATATCTGCAGTATTTCCTTTTTCTTGTGCGTGACTCTTCTAACATTCCTAAATCTTCCATACACACGCAAGAAATGATAAGTAACATGCTTTAACTTCCTTTTTTATTTTAAATTCTAATGCCATTTTAAAATTTCATAATCATTCATATATTTCCTCCTTCTTAGCCCCTTATTATTAATCATTTTAAGCAGCTTAAGAACCGGACTTGTAGAAACCCGTTAAAATTTCTTTTGAAAGGACAACTCTCTCAGGCTGAAACAGTTTGCTAATATAATTATAAAGGAAATTTTGATACGCTGCATCAACTGACTGGATAAAACTTTATGTAACCAGATGTCTTCCTGTATGCTATAGCATTGTGGAAAATATTCCTTAATGTTAACATTTCATGCCAAGAAAGCCCAACTGCCGGTCTGGAATATTGATTGCTGTTGGCTCTCTCTTGCCACAGGAATCCACTGAGCCTGATTCTGCAACTGAGTGAAGTTGTGTGAAGGTAATGCTTCTGAAAAAAGCCAGTCACTGATGTCTGCCAATAGCGAATAACGATCTCTGCTTTGTTACCTGTTTCTTTCAAGTTAGCTCTGAATTACGTTGAGTCCATGTGCATTCGAGCAGAACTGTAAGCCATAGAATTTCTCATGGCTTTTTGGGGCAGGGGCGGAGGGAGTAGATCACCAAGCCTTTCCTCAAAAGCAACTCCCAGTCAGCAGCTGAGTGCTTTGTTGGCTGTACCCAGAAACTCCCTAGCTTCCTGAGTCCCGAGCTATGTGCTATACACTTGCTTTCTTAGATGCCCGAGAAAATCGAGATCTAGATGTCTATGGTAAAAATGTGCTCAATGATATACAATGTAAAGTTCTCTTCCCATTTTCTATCTGACTTCCCTAAATGATATCAGACTATCTCTCAAATAAATTATTTATTTCCACCCAAACCTTAGTTTAAATCCTACTTCTTAGGGAACTCAACCTGAGTCCCATATTTCCCCTTCCCGAATATTTGTAGGATTTAAGAAATTGTACTTAGATAAGGAAATGCTGAGTTAGAAAGTGATTTATTTTGTTGTTAAAAAACTTTCTGAAAATCTTCTTGCACAAAGCTGAAAAGAAGCAGTCAAAACGTGGGACTGTTTTCTTTTAATCTGAGCGGATTTTATGACATCTTAGTAATATGAAAACCTATTATTTTAAATTATGTTTTAAAATGAAATAGAAAATTGTTCTCATTAAATGACTCACAAAAATCTCTGATTATTGACCCTCAATTAATTCACTTTTTTATTCATTTCAATTCATAATTTATTAAATCCAGACATAGTGAACAATACCAAAGAATCAAAATCAATTGAAAGTAGACATCTCATTTCAAATGCAGCCACCAAGCAGTCCAAAACCCCACAGAAAAATTTACACTAGCTATTAAAACTTGAAAATAATGTTCTGTTAGGTATAACAACTTTACCCCTTTAGTTTGAGTGGCAGTCCCATGCCCCTGGCACACCTTAATGGCAACCCCACACTCTGAAATTGAGTTTGTGAAGATTCGATACTTTGACACCTAGGCAGCTGTTTCCAGAACCTTTGGGATCCAGGAGATCAGAGCTTCGCCCTTTGAAACCCCAAAGGCCACGGACTCACCTTTGAGACCTAAGCATTTCTGTTTCCCGTGCGCCGTTTAAGAATTCTACAGATCTCTTAGCTGCTCCAAGATAATACTTTTCTTTTCTTGAAGACAACAGAGGTAGCTCCTTTGCTCTGTTCCTAGAATTCCAGAGGCAAACAGCCTTCTCTCCTTTTGTTCTGTACTTGGACCTTTCAGTCTGATCCAGTGAGTTTTTACTGTGATAGTTGTTAGATCCATCAGACACAAGATTAACCTCTTTAACAAAGTTTGTCTGGCCAAGTCCTAGGAGATGATTCTAGGACATAAGCCTTTTATTTGTATAATAGAACTTTCCAAATATTTTAGTTGATTTTCATCTTGCATAGCTAATTTTTAAATCCGTCTCTTCTCACATTTTACTTTAAGCAGCCAGGAGAAAAGAGATGGCCCCTTTAAAATCATGCTGAGATTCAGGTCGATCACTTCCCCAAATATTTGAACATAATTCAGATAAGGTCTTTGCCACTGCAATGGTTTGTATCAAAATTCTGCACAGGTTGGCTGTTGTCTGCTGTTCCTGTTTCCAATCAAATATTCATCAGAAGCTTTCCTAGTGCTCAATGGAAAGTACTTACCTAGTCCTAACTAGGGCCTTAGGACCAGAATACTTTCTTATTTCTTTCTCTTTTTTCAGAAATTATTTTATCCATTAATTGACTTGTTTATTACTTATATTTCACACTAGTAAATTTCACAAATAAAGGGACTTTTGATTGTAATTTTCCACTGTGATCAAGTATACGAACAGTGTATGTCTGTGTGTGTATGCATGATTGTATCTCTGGGTAGAAAATGAATGAATCAATAGAAGGAATCAATTGCTTAAGAAGGAAGTACAAAAACAAACACACAAACAAACAGAAAGAATGCAGTGCAAACCCGAGTCAAAAGCCTTGATACTAGAGTTAAGTTTATATATGCATGAGGTTATTCCAAACAAACAAAACATGCTGTCGCTCTTAATGGATGGCTGAGACAGGTTCTCTCGGTATCACTCTTGTCTTCGCCTCATTCCCCAAACCACACTCACTGCCGTGGAGTTGACTCTGACTCCTCGGATGCCCGCATGGTGCTCTGGGTTGTGCAGTGGCTTGTGCATTAGGCTGCTAACTGCAATGACATCAGTTTGAAATTGTCTGTAATCCCGTGGGAGAAACACAAGGATTTCGAAGTGCGCGAAGATTTAGTCTTGGAAACCCACGGAGGCAGTTCTACTCTGAGCAGCACGCTTGTCCTGAGTGTTGTTTGCTATAGTGCCATTTTTAAAAGTCCAATCATCGTAGTGACTTCCCAGGGGCTCTACTGGGACAGTTAAAGTCAGGGCAGAGGATTCAGCTCAGAACTTGAGGGTGATTGTCTCGGAGACTCCAACGGGGTACGCTTGGCAGATTTTCTAAAGGAACATGGAACAATCACAGGGCTGATTAGGATAAAGTTTGAAGAAAATCGTACACTTACTGGTGAGAAAAAGATCATGAAATACACCAAGGAATTTTCCCCTGGGATAGTAAACCAGTTCATTGAGGATAGCTAAGGCTGTCTTGTGAGATGGTCAACGGGGAACTCTATTGATTGAGCCGAAAGCGCTCTTCTTGCCCTTCACAATTCTTTTCCATTGTCGACCTCAAAGGGATAGAATGGGGACCCCTCAAAAATGTCCAGATGTGGTGTCCAT